AAAATCAAAATACTCGAATAGAATCATAATTTACATTAAATTTATCTTATAGTTAGAGTATTCGAACATGCTAAAATTACTTGTTTTTTTTAATCATTTTTTTCGCTTTTGCAGATATACATATATATTGTATACAACAGCACCCTCTCTCGGGATAAAATGTAAACGTCTGCCATTTTGTTTCTGTTACCCTTTTGATTTGAAATTGGTATAAAAAATATATTTTGTCTACGTATTTGAATTAGATACTACTTCAATAATAATTCTGATATTAACATTTTGGTCATTGATCTTGCCAGTCCTCTATAATAACGTGTTAGCTATAACAAGGCAAAAAACAACGTTTAAAATGAACTGAGGGATATTTGGCAAAACACTGTATTTACTTGGCCATAGTTATTGTATTGTAATAAAAATGAACAACAAAAAGAAAAAAAGAGATAATGAGCTAAAATATTTTTCTTTACTTCATTTAACTTTTTCACTGCCACGGGTACATACACTTCAGAGAGGTGAGTGTGGCGTATTAAAACGATTTTGGAGCTCACCACGTCGTTACGTGTCCGTGTCGATACGTCCTGTCATGTTTCATCTGACGTACGTGTATCTTGACACATAATTTCAATTGAAAAAGGCTCCGTCGTAAATCTGTCATGCCTTAATCACACCACTCCTTCCTACTTCTTTCAATAAGCCATCTACTGCACGAGGATGATAGTTTCCAAGTGCCCGTTTCAACAGCCTAACTGCACAGAAATTCAAAGGCACTGCGCCCGTTATACTTTAGAATAGTATGGATATTCGTTTCATTCTCCATCTGCTGGAGGTATGCAACGGTTGAACTAGAGGTATGAATGGAAGCCTTATCTTGGTGAACCCATACCCTGTTAACTTTGTTTACAGACGGAGGTCCTTCTTGATTATATTGTGTGGACTGATTTTGCCACTGACCCTTGTGATCGTAAATTCTCGCCTGTAACAAAACGCCTCACTTTGTTTACCACAACTGGGGTAGGACTTATTACAGGTCTCTTTATGGATGACCCTGGTGTCCCAAGTTGAGGAATGTCCCTTTGTTTTCCAATGCCATTAAGTACAAAGCACATCTCTATCTTGGAAATTCTAAATCCCTCACCTGAACGCATCTCTATGACGTGAGTCTATACTATCTTGGGCCAGAAAAGGGTATTACTACCCTTCCCAAAAGCGATCAAGTTTCGTTGGCATCACATTACTAGCGACCCGCCAAACAATATCAAAATTTTGCTCTGATACATTCGGTTCCACAACGACTATATACCGTCTACTGCTGTTACATGATTTATTGATATGCATATTTAAAATCATTCTAATATAAAGTATTCAACCATCTGTATAATTTATTTTTACTCATTTTATGTTGACTTAAATGTCACAGAAAAAGAATAGAAATGTATTAATTACAAAGTAATAAACCTCTTTTAACAAAAATTCTAACTTAATCGGTTCGATATTTCGTTTATTTGGCCATTAATATACGATCTATTTAAGTGAATTGACTTTATTCAAGGTAAGATTTAACTCGTATTTTAAAGAGTTACTTTTGTTATTGTTCCCTAATTGATGTAAAAATATTCACTTCATTTTTGAGGCTCCACTTACGGTATTATTATAGGTTTGGTTTAATATATATTTCGCGCAAGAGCTACTCGAGGGCTATCTTCGGTAGCCGTCTCTAATTTAGTAGTGATAGACTAGGGAGAAGGCAGCTGAACAACGCCACCCACCGTCAACTCTTGGACCAACGAATAATGGGGTTGACTGTCACGTTATAACGCCCACACGGCTAAAAGGGCGAACATTTTTAATTAACGGGTATTCGAACCCTAGACTCGCATATTGTGAGTCGAGCACACTAACCACCAGGCCACCAGTTTCTCTGAGCTTATTCAACGTTGCTGATGTTTTACATATCAATTTTGGTAAGGTGTTTTTACATATCAATTTTGGTAAGGTGTTTTTTATATCAATTTTGGTAACTACTACGAATGAACCTGTGTTTGCCTTTTTCGTTAACTTTACTTAAGTTCACAAAACTAGGCTTTAGTTATTTCTTAAAGCGCATACAAGTATGATGCATGCAATATCCAATAGGAATCGCTATAAAATTTAATCATATTTATTCTTTTCTTTTGTTTTGCACTTCAAATAAGGCTTTTACTAAATGTCATTCTCCGTGTGACTGTCAGTTCTTGTTACGTAAGTAGCAACTATAGCTCGAACTTGGCTTAGTTTTTTTGTGTCTTCCCTGATGTTTTTCAAATATTTCGTAAATGAAACGTATTTTAGGCTTATGCCAATATACGTTTAAGTTTTTGTTTTTTTCTGTTCAGATATCTGTTCTATTTTACAATCCACCGACGCAGAATTTAAGGAAAATTAATTTGCAAATTCAGTTAAATTTCAATGTTATTTTTCAACCGTTCCGGAAAACATAGAAAAAAAATAGTGAAGTATATGTTGTTCTTGTAAAAATAGATAGCTGCGTAAGTTAGATTTTAATTAACTAGTCGTTGCCAAGATTAGCGAAAAACATGTAAGATTCTATTAATTAAAGACATCATTAACGTTACAGGTGTTAAGCAGCTTGGAATGTAGTCACGGAGGCGCGACCTGGTGGAAGATTAAGTATATTGGTTATGTTATTCCAAGTTTAATTCATCTTAATTGGATTTTTTTTGCGTAATCTTATATCTCACTTCATATTATAACGTTAAGATCTAATAGCTTCTTTTTACTCTGAGTAAGAAAACAAACAAGGTTGTTAAATCTTTTTTCTAAGGTAAAATACTCACCAAATATAATTTTACTTATTTGTGCTACATCGGTGATATCTTGGAATTAAGTAAAATAAGTAAAAGTCTTAGAAGTTCATATTTTTAATAACATTTGTTTGTTAAAGAAGGCATGCAAGTAATTGAACAAAATTTAAGTTTTGGTTCTGACTGAAATTATTTCTCTTTAACGTTTTGAAAGGTTTTCACTAATTTTCTGACTTTAAGACACACGTGTTTGTTGTGTGTAGATTGGAAATGAAATTATTTAAAAAACCGAAATACGTGCAATATGCATGTATACATCATATACATTTACTATATAGATCCACTGCCCACACACATTTATATATGTTGTTTTGAAGTCGTTATAATGCTCTGTAAAACACGAAATGATAACCGCAAAAGTTTTAATTTTAGTTT